AATTGAATATCTTTCACGAAAATGAAATTTTTCTTCGCGATCATCAGGAATATTCCTGGACGAATTCGAACTGTTGACAGGGAATATATTATCTATTGTACGACAATCGTTCGATCTGAGAGAATTTCATAGGCTTATGACATAAAAAAATTCAGTGACGAGGAAAGAATTTTTTTTGAAATTAATTACTTTTGCCAATAACACAGTTTTCGGCAAGAAAATTGTAGTTTCCTCTTGAAATTATCATTTGTTACGTGGAAATTATTCACTTGATAAAACCGGAGCCTCATATAATTCTCCGTAGAACGAATATATTTAACCGAAAGACAAATATCTCACGAGAATAATTACTAGAAAAATTTTCATGTTTTGGTGGAATCTTTCTTTTTTGTCGACAAGTAAATTGATTCAACACGACAAAAATGTCTTCAGGGGAACATATAATTAAAAATTGAAAATTCAAGAAATTTTGTGATTAAAAATCTACAATTTGATAGAAAACTTGATGGAAATTGTTAATTTCTTTTCAATTATTTCGACAAAATCAGCGGAAATCAGGACAATTGGGATAAATTTATCATATATCAGTCATGAAAATGTCTCTCCTGTCGCAAAAATAAGAGTAAATATCAATTTTTCTCCCGTCAAAAGGTTTTTTGCACATTTTCTCGCAGTGCTCATCACGCTTAGGGAACTTCAATCAGAAAAATTGTAAGGGCTCATATTTTATAGAGGGACGATAGTTCCCATCGAGCAGTAGTGATGGGGGGAGAGAGAGATTCGCTCGGACGATGCTCCAACTATGAGGGAAAATATCATTTAGACTAAAAGCAAACGCAGATCCTGGAACTGAACGAGTGATCGGATGTTCTCGGACGAGCGGACCCTCGGGTGTTTTCTCGTCGAGGGATTGGGTGATACGAATTCTCGTCCTTTCGACATTCACGAATACGTATGACCTTGGGGATAACTTCAATTTCGACGGAGATAACACTAAAGCTAATTAATTTATTGAGATCTACTTATTTCCAAAACTGTCGTTATTTCTGAATTAGTGGCGCACTGTAAATAAAATTGCCTACATAAATTCCTGTGTTTTTTCTTGAACACTTTTATGACAATATAACGGAATTTCACTGGAATTTCAAGACGAACAGAAAGTTGGGAGAAAAATTATCCAGAAAATAATCATCATCATTTGAATTACATTCCGGGAAAAACGACAGTTCTTCGAGCATTCACTTCTAACGAAAAATATTATAATCAATGGATAGGTCAAACAGTTGTCCATACACTGATAAAAAAAATCCAACTCAAGAAATTTCTTTTCCAATCGCCAACGCAATTTTTGAAACAATCATTGTCCTCACGTTTCTGGTGACAAGTTCAATCACTCCAACAAGCTCTCAAAACTTGGAAACAGCAAATCACTGCCTAATCTCCATTGGCTTAAACACCCCGTGTCTTCGGGGGCTTCGTTAAACATCTAACTGCATCATTTTGAACCCCTCCTAACCCCTCGGCCTGTGGTTCCCTGTAGAACCTGATTGGCGGATGGGAGCAGGGTCAGTGGGCCAGGGACGTGCCACAGTCGTTTCTCCCTGTAACAAAGGCTTCTTAGTCCCCCTAGGTCCACCCCTTTTCTCTTCCCATGCTTCGTCTACTCCTACTTCCAACGAGGGTAGAAAGCCCGGTGGTCGGGGCGAGAGTGAAATTGGGATTCGTGGAGCATAGTTTCTATCTTTTATTCTCTTCCTCTCGAACGTTCTCATTGAAGGGACCCCGTTGCTGGCTAGCCCTCCCCTAGATCGAGTTTTCCCCGTTGTCACGCTGGTCCGGCTATGACGATGCACGGTGTGGAAACTAGTATCTTCAAGACGTCTTAAGGGGAAACGGACCCCTGCGTTTATATGAATCTTTAGAATTGTGTTTTTTCCTGCAATTATTATTTTTTATTCACTAAACTACTTCATTGACTCAACAATGCGATAATCGAGTCAATAAAGTAATTTCATAGATAGAAATTAATGATTGTAGGAGAAAACACAATTATAAGATTTGATGTAGACAAAGGGGGTCCGTCTCCCCTTAAGAACATCCAAGTATAGATTCAACAATATAGATTCACCATTTTCAATCATTAAATTTGTCAATTCAGTAGTGAAGCGGTAAACCGAGTTAAGTCGATTTTGACTATTAGCTAGTTTTTGCTGAATATCTCGGAATCTAAGAGAGATAGCCAAATTTTTCTCATGACTTTTTTTATAACGCTCTATTGGCTCTACAAAAAAGGTCAGGACAAAAATCTTTCTATCTCTTTTAGATTCCGAGATATTCGTCAAAAACTAGCCAATAGTAAAAATCGGCTTAACCCGGTTTACCGCTTCGCTACTGAATTAAATTGCGTGAAAAAAAGTTGAAAAAAATCGTGATTATTCGGCGCCAGTCAAATTACATTTTGCACAGAATTATTATTTTTTTAGACATTCGTTGGTTATTAATAAATAATTGAAATTATTTAAACTTTCGGAAAACAATTCTTTTAGGCATCAAATCGAGTTCTGGTAACATCCTGAATATGAATAAATTTTTTACCATTCCGAGAAAATGATTTTTAACGTGCAAAATTGATGGTTTTTAATTATTGGCAGAAAACTTTCACAATTTTCAAAAATTTCAATGTCTCCATTTCAAACACTAGTTATTCTAGTCTAACAACGCATACATCCAACTGTATCCAGAAACTCCTGAATTGAAGGCAGAGATCGGGATAATACATCGCAAGAGATTACATCAGCTCCTGTTGTCACGCTAATTAAAGTTTCTCTGTCCTCGTTGCACTCCCATTTGTTCTTCTCCGAACAGGTCTTCTTGTCGGTTGACATGGTGACAGTGACGGACAGCTGTCACTGCTGCGGACGCGATATGCGATGAGCTATTCCATGTGATTGATAAAGTGATTGAATTGTTTTATTTTATTTGACTTTGTTCGACGGCAGGGGCTCCGCCATCATTGCGCGTTGGGAAAGTGAACATGTACTACTACCGATAATTTTATTGGAGATGAACAGGATTGTTGTGGCTGAGGACTAAAGCGGAGATGTGGAGGAGAATGTGTCACACCGAGTGACCATTGCTAAATTGCATTTTATACAAATGGGACAATTCGATTTCAGTGGGAGCTATACTCACAGGGACTGTGGGCTTTCACGGAGGGAACATTTCTCTTGAAAAAATACATATCAATTTTTCTCCCTTCGTAGTGCTTTTTTTGTGTGATTTATCTCGCGGAATTGATGGTAAAAAATTGGATTTTGCAGTGTGAGTATTGATTAGGAAATTTGTGAGGGCTTTTATTTTATGACGGGGCAGTATTTTACATCGCGTAACAGTCGTGATGAATTATTAGGACGATGCTCGAACTGTAGAAAAAAATTGCATTTACACTATTGAACACTTTTAGCTGGAATTTTCGATCTACTTTTTGAAAATTTTCACCATCTGACAATTCCATCAAATTTTTTATAATTTCGTCATTAAAAATTCAAAATATCATGTCAAAATCATAGGAGATAGTAAAATTAAATTAAATTAAATTAAATTTTAATAGTTTCAATTTATTGGAAAAATTATTGTAACTTGATACCAAATATTAATTTTTTTATGAAATTTCAAGTAAGTTGTGAAATTTTCATTTCCATTCTATCTGGAAATTCATCATATTCTTATTATTGAAGTGTTGTCCTTACAATGTTCGTACTGAACTCATACCATGCCCCATTCAATCTCATAGTAACTTCAAGAGAATAAAAAAATGTCACGAATTCGATAACCTGGATATCACGACGATTAAATCACTTACGAATTAAACAAATTCTCACGTATGTGAGAATGGCAATAAAACAATTTGACGAAAAAAAAAATATTTGTTGAAATTCAACAACTGATTGTTAAGTCATTTTTTCGTTTGTGAGATACGTGAGATTTCGGTTATTACTTCAAATTTTTTATTGGATTTATCGGAATTGGTTTAATCGAGGACTTGGTATCCACGTTCCTGAATTGGTGAATTCTTGATGTTACTTTGCTCTCTTGTGGGATGGAAAAATATTGAAATTTCAAAATCACATAGACAAAATATTTTTACGGGTGTTCAAACATTTCAAAACGTGAATTATGTACGAAACCAGCGAGGAAGAGTCATTCATCTTTTGATCGAACTAGATAGAAGACACTGAGGCGATTATTTTGAAAGAAAATTAAAATCGGTGCATAGCAAGAACAAAAATTTTAAAAAATGACAATAACTCTGTGACTAATATCGATACAGATTTTTACAGTGAGTAGTTTGAAAAAATTCTGCGATTGTTCCAGCATTTGATAACCCTTGCGACGTCGCTAGTGATTTCAAAGCGTTTGAAATCTTCTACTTTAAAAAATCAATTATTAACTAATGAGCAATATTTCTAATGTTTATAAATGAAAAATTGGTCATTTAAAGTCAAAATTTGAGATTAAAAATGAAAAGAAAAATCATTCAAGTTCTCTTTTGGTTGACTGATTCTCAACATATTAATGAAAAATGGATTTCAGGCCTATTGCACTATTCCAAGGACCAGTATTAACACTATAGTGCAGTACTGACAATGTGATAAAAGTTATTAACAATATAACTGCAAAATGTTCGGTATCCTTGAGTCAAATGTGAATAAAATATCCCATTTCTTACACTTCCTTCATATTTCTCTCCTTAGTGTAAATCCTGGAGATTCCATGGACCAAAAAAACAGATCTTGCAAGCTGACGAAAAAATTGTAATTTATCCGTAGAGTTGACACCTGCTTTATTATTGGATTCCTGATCCTGAGTGGGAGAGATACGGCGCTTCAGGTGATAACGTAATGCGGAAAACAATTCCCTCAAAAGTCACGTTCCTCTTACAGATTAATTCACTTTGAACTGTATAAAAGGGAAGCCAAGGTTTCTGGGTCATCATTGACTCTAAGTTGACTGAAACAAGTTCATCATGCTTCAGTCCAGCTTTTTGTTTCTACTGGTCTGCCTGGTCTGTGCTAATGGTAAGTACTGCCGGTCGGTTATTGTACATTTCAAATAATCCATTGGTATTTCTATGATTGTCGCGTAATTTTATTGTCACATGAGATTTAATTTCTCGAGCTAATGAGTTGTAGGATATTCACTCTTCGATTGAAATTGGAAATTTTAACAAATTGATCGTTCGGTGTAGCACATACAGCATCACCCTGCCCTCCTCAGTCCCAATACAGTTGGTTCACATGCGCCAACCAGCAACCAAATTCAACGAATTGTTATCAACCATGCGCAATGGTAATAAACTTTGTCAACTTAGCCTTATGGAGTTCCAACTTTTATCGTAACACAAGGGCATTCTGGTTACAGATATTCAAACCTGGATGCAAGTGTAAGCCGGGGTATGTACTGCGTGCGAATTTTACCTGTGTTCCGGCGCCGAATTGTTCTACCACTACGAACGCAAACACGCCAACCACTTCAACATCAACTCCGGATTCGCCACCAGATTCTACGTCAGAAACAACTCCAAGTACGACGCCAAGCACTAAATCACCCTCGACTTCGTCACCGAATTCTCCACCATCACAAACTCCGAGTAGGACGCCAGGCCCCGACATAACCACGAGTTCCACGATCTCTACAACATCAAAACCTCCAGGTACGCCGACAGGCTCTGAATCAACCACGAATTCATCACCGGATTCTACGACATCACAAACTTCGAGTACGACGCCAGGCCCCGACATAACCACGAGTTCCACGATCTCTACGACATCAAAACCTCCAGGTGCGCCGACAGGCTCTGAATCAACCACGAAGTCATCACCGGATTCTACGACATCACAAACTTCGAGTACGACGCCAGGCCCCGACATAACCACGAGTTCCACGAGTTCTACGACATCAAAACCCCCAGGTTCGCCGATAGGCCCTGAATCAACCCCGAATTCATCACCGGATTCTACATCACAAACTTCGAGTACGACGCCAGGCCCCGACCTAACCACGAGTTCCACGAGTTCCACGACATCAAAACCCCCAGGTTCGCCGACAGGCCCTGAATCAACCACGAATTCATCACCAGATTCTACGACATCAGAAACTCCGAGTACGACGTCAGGCCCCGACATACCCACGAGTTCCACGAGTTCTACGCCATCAAAACCCCCAGGTTCGCCGATAGGCCTTGAATCAATCTCGAATTCATCCCCGGATTCTACGACATCACAAACTTCGAGTACGACGCCAGGCCCCGACATAACCACGAGTTCCACGAGTTCTACGCCATCAAAACCCCCAGGTACGCCGACAGGCCCTGAATCAACCTCGAATTCATCACCGGATTCTACGACATCACAAACTTCGAGTACGACGCCAGGCCCCGACATAACCACGAGTTCCACGAGTTCCACGACATCAAAACCCCCAGGTACGCCGACAGGCCCTGAATCAACCTCGAATTCATCACCGGATTCTACGACATCAGAAACTCCGAGTACGACGTCAGGCCCCGACCTAACCACGAGTTCCACGAGTTCCACGACATCAAAACCCCCAGGTACGCCGACAGGCCCTGAATCAACCTCGAATTCATCACCGGATTCTACGACATCACAAACTTCGAGTACGACGCCAGGCCCCGACATAACCACGAGTTCCACGAGTTCTACGACATCAAAAACCCCACCAGGTAACCCGCAATCCACGCAACCGTTCGATAATTCGTCACTGACGACTGAGATTGGTCCGGAATCACCAAACACCCCTTCTACGTTACTATCGCCCCCGCCGAAGCGTTCATGCTGTGCTCTGGTCGTTCTACTGGAGAACTGCAGCTACCCGGAATTCAATCTGACTTCGATCAGTAAATCGCAGGGCAACCAGCTAGAAGACATGCCGTGCTGTCAGCTGATCAATGACAATTTTGTGAATAGATTGAAGGAAAAATGTAAGGGGAAGAAAGTCAATCAATTGGATTTGGGGTCTGCAAGCCTGATAAATACCCGAAGTGGTGCCAAACAGAATTTACAGAACTTCAGATCATATTTCAGGCGACGAAATGCCCGATATGGAGACCATGATAGTTCAGAGAAACATGCGTTCAAATCATACAGGTACCGAAAACGCTTGGGGAGCGATCATGCGTATCGATACACTCGCTAAGGGTGTAGTCGCACAGAATTGAATGGTTATTCAGTTATGGAACGACTTAAGCCTTCGATGTTTTGGGTTACAGATTATGTATAATTCTTTGCTGTAAGATTTAATTCATTTGAATTTTTGGGTTTTGGGTAATGTACAATTATTTACAATATCGTTAAATATATTTCAACAGACACAGTGAGTCTATAGAATTCATTCATAGAAAGCATATCCCTCACTCCATTCCCTATTTGATTATTTCCGTCAATATTTCATCTTGTGAGGATGGAAGAAAGGCTCAGTATGAAATATTTCATTGTCAAATGTCCGAATATCAGGGACATTCATGGACAGTTGACTACTAATTTTCAGAACTGTGACGCTGAATACGATTTAAGGAAAAAAAAATCATGAAATTTATGGGTTCACTGAAAAGTGTATTTACCGGAATTTTCTGGTTTTCTATTTATTTTCAGGGAATTTTCACGATTTTCAGTAGTTTTCATTGTCGTATGAACCTGAGCAATCAAATTTCATTCGATATTCGAGAAAATTGACTGATTTATCAATAACACGATCAATGGAAATTCCATGTAAATTATTCGTTGTTAAAAATTTCAAGATTTTTTACTTGAAATTTCAAGAGAAATTTTCTAACGGTGCACAACTTAATCATGTCTGCGTCATCTGGAGAAAATTCGATTGCGTTATCAACTCAACAGCCCCGTGGACTTCAACACGTCGTATCAACGTGCCTCGTAAAAAGCTTTCAGAAATACTAAATCCTAGAGTACACCCTGAAATTTCGCATTAAACGGTATAGCTCACTAGACATTCCTCTCGTTCCACCTTTAAGCTGACGCAATTACACTGAGTGGAGGAAAACGTGGTGCCACCGAGGCCAAAAGCGCTCGTGGAGAGGAGTTTACATTTCGAAAAATGAAGCCCGACAGGAGATAAAATCACCATTTCCAACTGGCCATACCCTGTCATTATCGTTACCCCTGAGTTATTCATTTCGTACACCGTTGATTTAATTTCACTCCTATCCGTATGAATCTGTCGGTCGGATTAATCGTTTGATATCGCCGGCTGATTGCAATCCAGGAAGAATAGTTGGTTGGTAACCATCGATGAATCAAATTGACGCACAGTTACGTCTGGCATTTAAAATCGTGGAGGCTTTGTCGTGTCTCTCACCTGTTTCGCTTGTCTACTATTGCAATGGTAATTTATATTTTTTGCTTCAATAATTGCACAAATTGGCGGAAGACATTTAAAATTTCTCAAGAAGCTGATGTTTTGGAGATATTGCAGAGAAAATTTGGAAAATTCGCAAAATTTAATCATTTCTATTCTCATCAACTTAAGATTGAATTCATGAATATTTCACTTCTGACGAGAAAATAAAATGCAATTTTTTAAAAACTATGAAATAAAGTCAATACGATTTGCCTGTTTCCATGAAAAATTACCGTGAATTTATCAAACTTTGATTATCACCTTCCTACAATTTTTGTCCTCTAAAAATGACAAAAACGTACATTTCCATCAATTCTTGTCTCTCTAAATTTTTAAAATCACCGTCCGGAATCAGATTTACCTGTAACTCTGAATGTACATCTAAACATAAACTTATGCTTGCATCCACATTATTCATCGCGAATAAACTGCTCGACTGTTTTAGCAAAACTGAAATAACGAAAAAAGTAAAAGAAAAAATGAAACGCCGAATCAGTGTAAAGCCAGATAACAAAAGAGAATGGAGTACAAAGGATTTTCAGAAGTCTCGTAAAGCCTTTTACGGCTATCCATTGGAAATTAATTGGAGTGATAGAGGCAGGAGTGGCGATGTGGCTGAGGCATAGAGACGGGGGCGCAGGAGAGAATTTTACCAAAGCCAATCGTACCTCACGATCGTACCAGCCCGATAACGCCAACGTTATTCCACCGTGGCTGGGATCGTAAAACCCTGTCAGAGTATATACAATGTATACGTGCTTTCAGCATGGTCCCACACCAAAGCCATACCCACCTGCACGTTTATGTGCCCCAGGAAAATTTTGAATACTGAAAGGGCGATGGACTGAGGGTGGGCTGCGAATATTTACCGGTTGCTAGGGACTACTCGCACGAGTGAAACCTCTTTTCAATGTATGGGGAATGGGTAAAAGGGGTGATAATTATGTTTTGCTTGGGAGAAAGGGTTGTCCTTTGATCAATTACTGATATTCGAGTGCGAGGCAATTCCGTCGTTGTTCGTTATGAGCGACTGTTTACTTGTTCAATGCTGTCCAACGGCTATTCATAACAATTTTTATCAGTTTGAAACAGTTTTGCGGGCTTAGCAGGTGCAGGTGTCATCGAAAATCGATAAAATCTGCATCATTAACGGATAAATCGCGGGTATACGCACGGTCACATTATGAAGCTATGAGCTGGCGCCATCTTTACGAAACTTGGAGAAGTATCGGAATTTTTTAAGAGCATTGGTACAGTAGGAACCATTTTTCATTTTTTTAAATTCCAAATTTTGATTTTCATTTCGATGTTCTCACTGACGGTGATCACAAACTGATCGGTCAATTTTATTGTATTTTTACGCGCAAATTACATGTCTCTGACCGCGAACTAACTACTAACTGTATTCGATCACAACGGAATGAGAAAATCTCATGTCACAAGGATTACAAAAAAATTTAACGGTAAATTTTGTTTAAATAGGGCACTTCATTTTTTTTACAAAGCATTATTTAATTTGAATGACTTTAAATTTCACTGACAATTCAGTGAATATTCAGTACCGAATTGAATATTCAAGAATATGTTTTCCGGAATTTTCCTGAATTGGCCAGCAAATAGCAATTTTACCGTTGATCTGATGCAAAAAATGCCGGTAATTTAGCATTCCCACTCATAACGGAATGATTAATCCAATGTGTATTCACCTACGGACGTACACTTCACATCAATTAATAATAATAAGGGAAATAATTATTCCCCATTGTCCAGAGTGTCGTTCGGTAGTAAAAATAATGGCTGAGGTATCGTAAATAAATCTGTCTCAATCTGGTTTCCTGTCAACATGTTAAAAAATATCCGCCTTCACATTCGTGGCCTTGTTTACGCGTTCTGGTGTTCACATTTTTTTCTCTCTTCTATTTGAATAATTAAAAATTTCGGTGGACGGAGACAGATGAGCAGTATAATTCAGTAGTGAAGCGGTAAACCGAGTTAAGTCGATTTTAACTATTAGCCAGTTTTTGCTGAATATCTCGGAATCTAAGAGAGATAGCAAAATTATTCTCATGACTTTTTTTATAACGCTCTATTGGCTCTACAAAAAAAGTCGTGACAAAAATCTTTCTATCTCTTTTAGATTTCGAGATATTCGTCAAAAACTAGCCAATAGTAAAAACCCGATTTACCGCTTCGCTACTGAATTTATCCCAAAGGCGTGAAAAATACTTAGCAAAATGTAATCTTTGTTTTTGTATGAACAAGAATGCACTATAGACAATTTTTGACTGAAATTTCTGGGAATTTTGTCAATGAAAATGGACAATTTTATGAAAAAATTAATGAAGACCGTACGTTTTAATTAAATTTTCGGCTGAAAATTGATAGAAATCAGGACATTTCAGATATATATATCCCTGAATTTTGAATTGATAAAAAATTTCGCGAAATTCGATCCTCAACATTCACTTTTTTATTAAAAATTCATTGACTTTCCATTGAAATTTGAAATACCACGATATTCCCCCTAAATCGAGCCCAAGAAATCCCTTTTTTGCCTCAAAATCTTTTCTCCATGTACAACATCACGATATTTCAGTTTTAATATCCAACGGAACGAATAATAAATTACATTTGCGATTAAAACACGTTGAAATAGCAGATCTCAACTGCAGTAGATTTTCGACATCGATAAAAATTCAATAGCCTATTCTCACAGTAACATTTGCCCCTCGAAATACAACGAAAAAATGAATAAAACTACTCGAACTTATTGACGTCATTTCAAAGGGAAATATAGAGCATGTATTTCGTGCTATTATTCAGTCCACAATTTTCTGATCAATGAAAATACATAATTTACTCGTTGGACGGTTACTAGCGCCATGCATGTTGTCTACCCGTCAATACACTCTCTAGTTCTGCCACGTTGCATGCACACATGCATTGACAAAAGTAGTAGAAGAGAGGTGGGGGGACTCACGAGGTTCTAATGCCAATGCTCTTTCGCCTTGAGCTAGTTGGCGGTCGCGTCGGACGTTGGCTCGGCGCGATGTATGTGTCGCCTAAGTCATAGTATAACATACTAGTCAATAAAGTCAAGCGATTCGCACTGTAAATTATATTCACCGCCTCTTGCCGCGCTTATCTGGACCGCCCCAGGTATAGATGCGGGCTCAATGTTTTTTTCTTTCTGCTCTTTTTTTACTACATCTCACGAGTTAGTTTACGAGTGGAGCGGGAAAATTTTCAGCGTACGATTTTTATTTTATTTGATATTTTATAATAAACCAGGAAATCGCGGCTAATTAAGTTATTCTGTTTCTCAACTCTTATTTCTGCATAATGAGGACTGAATATAAATTAAGAGGAGAATTTTGCCCCTTGTGGATAAAAAATGGATGAATAATGCGGATAAATACTGTATTTTTAGGAAGTATTCACATTTTTTCAACAACATTCACCATTCGTCTCTGTTTTTTTAATAATTTTCTCCTGAACATTTCCCTCTAGGTAATTCCACTATTTACATGCCCTCGTTGACCTCCCACAAACGAAAATAAAACGACAACTCGACGGGCAGAAAAATATGACAGTCATAAATAATGGAAAGGTGCACTTGACAATTGACTTTCCCTGTACCTCTCATTGAATACATCCACCGGCTGACATTTTCATGGAGTTTGAAAGCTCATAAATGGAGAGAAAAGTCATCTTGTTGCTCAATTCTCATTGATACATACAAAGATCAGATATTAATTAATACAAAAATTTTGCTCCTCATAATACGAAAAATGTGAGCACTTTTAAAAACTGAAGATGCATTCAAATTTTTTGAAGTAATTTTCAATGAAATTCCGATGGAATCCTTAGAATTTCGCGACGAATTACTTGAGAGCCTGCAAATTCTTCGGAGTGAATAGAAAAAATTCCCCATTCCTCGCCCCTTTTTTTAATAATTTT